CAGTTAGGCTGGCGGCTGCTGCTGCTCGCTTTGCTGCGGCTGCAGAAAATAGGCGCTGAGCGGGTGGGGAGGGGCCTCGCCCACGGGGGCTGCAGTGAGGCTGTCGTAGAGCCAGTCTGGGGGGTCGTGGATGAGCAGTTCGTCGTAAGTCTGCAGCAAAACGAAATAAAAAAAGGAAATTGAAACGCTTTTCAAGGCGCAGCAAACGCGCTGGAAGAATAAATAAACGTGGAGGGAAAACAGGGGGAAAAGGCGAGAAAAAGGAGGGAAAAAGAGCAAAAACGGTGCGAAAAACTGGGGAAAAAAACAAAAAAGAAAGAGAAAAAGGAAGAAAATAAGCAAAAAAAGCAGATAAACAGGGGGCAGAGAAAGGGCAATTACTGAGAAAGAAGAAGTTTAAAAAGTGGCAAATGAAAAGAGAAAAGAAGAGGAGAAAGTGGCAGCAATGAAGAGGTAAACAGCTCGAAAATGTGACAGAAAAGAAGAGAAAAAAGGGATAAAAAGGATAAAAAGAAATAGGGAAAAAAGCAAATAACGGACAAATAGGGAAAAGAAAAGGCGCAAAGGGGAGGAAACAGAAAAGAGAAAAAGAGGGAGAAGAACAAGAAAAGAAAAATGAAAAGAAAAGAAAAAGGAGATAAAAATAAAGCAAAAAGAAGAAAAAGAAGACAAAAGGGAAAGAAAAAGAAGAAAAACAAGAAGACAAAGAGACAGAGAACAAGAAAGGCAAAAAGACAAAAGGGGAAATGAACAGAAAAGGAAAAAAGACAAAAAGCAGGCTCCCCTGGAGGCCCCCAAAAGGGCACATCGGAGGGGTCCCCGGGGGCCCCCAAGCATACGGGGGGGCCCCCGGGGGCCCCCAAGCACATGAGGGGGCCCCCCGGGGGTCCCCCTTGTGCGCAGCACGCCAGGGGGCCTCCCAGGGGCCCCTAAGAAAACAAGGGGGCCCCCCGGGGGCCCCCAAGGGAACGAGGGGGCCCCCTGGGGCCCCCAACAGGGGCTAAATGGGCGTCGCTCACCTCTGAGGCGACACAGGGGCCCTGCGAGGCGCCTGGGAGGTTTAGCTGCGGAGCGCATAAGATACACAGG